CAGTTGTGAGGATTTTCATTTCTTTATGTTGAAATGTAATCCACACCACAGACTGTAGTCTTTAATGTTCATCAGTAAGTGTTTCAAGCCTTCTTCACTTTCAGCAAGCAAGGTTGTGTCATCTGCATATTCCAGGCTGTTAATAAGTCTTCCTCCAGTCCTGATGCTGTGTTCTTCTCAGATTTGCTCAGCATACAGATTGAATAAGTATGGTGAAAAGATATGACCTTGACGCACTCCCTTCCTGATTTTAAACCATGTAGTATCCCCTTGTTCTGTTTGAACGACAGCCTCCTGGTCTATATACAGGTTCCTCATGAGCACAATTAAGTGTTCTGGAATTCCCATTTTCTCAATGTTATCCACAATTTATTATGATCCACACAGTCAAATGCTTTTGCATAGTCAATGAAACACAAATAAATATCTTCATGGTACTCTGCTTTCAGCCAAGATCCATCTGACGTCAGCAATGATATCCCCTGTTCCACATTGTCTTCCGAATCCAGCTTGCATTTCTGGAAGTTCCTTGTCAAAACACTGCTGCAACTGTTTTTTAATTTTCTTCAGCAAAATTTTGCTTGCTTGTGACATTAATGGTACTATTCAATAATTTCCACAATCTGTTGGGTCATCTTTCTTTGGAATGGTACAAATATGGATCTCTTCTAGTCAGTTGGGGAGATAGCTGTCTTCCAAATTTCTTGACATGGATGAGTAGTGCCTCTAGTGCTGCATCCATTTGTTGAAACATCTCAGTGGATATTCTGTCAATTCCTGGAGCCTTGCTTTTCATCAGTTCTCTCAGTGCAGCTTCGACTTCTTTCAATACCTTTGGTTCTTAATCATATGCCACCCCCTGAAATAGATGAACATCAACCATTTTTTATACAGTGGCTGTGTATTCCTTCATTAAATGTCCTCTTGGACAATCCATTCAACATTAAGTCTTCCAGTTAAAAGAATTTTTCACTGGAGAGATCTTACCCCATTCTGCTTCAGATGCCCACATTCATGGCCACAACATTGATATTGTTACTTGAAGCGGCTCCACCTCTAAAAGCTAAAATTGCAGTATTCCTTACAGGTTGTTCCTTCAGTTACTCCCATTTCCTCATCAAGACCCTTCATCCCCTCTTTTTATATGCAATATATTGGCCCTCTTATTGGTCTCCTTTCTTCTTTATCTGAGCTAGACTCCACAGCTCATCCATCAAACTGTTGCTGGATAAATCCATAACCTTTGTTGTTTACCCTCCACCATTCTCATCCTGAAGACTCATCAATTCAGCTTTAGACAACCATTTGCCTTTCCTGCTCTACACCTAGACTTCTGAGCACTGTTGTGGAGGAATGATTCTTTCAGAATTTTCTATGGTTCCCAGTCATTCTGTAAGGTCATCATGTACAAATTCCCTCACTCTCCACATGCCCTTTTGAGGCCTTCCTTTATTCAAGCTCCAGCACAGCTATGTGCCGAAAAGCTGACTTAAAAAAAAAAAAATAGCATCTGCCAATTTCCATGGTGTAAATAATCTCACCATGATTCCAATTTTAATGACTGTGTTGTTTAGCAGTCCACTCACAAAATTTCTGAAAATCTAACAACCAGCTTTCCTGCCCTTCTTAGCTATGTGAATTTTCAGTAGATGATTCTGCTATAGGTGGTAACTCACTCAACTTTTTGGCCCTCTAGAAATTTATCTATCCCCATTTTTGTTGAATATCTTCTCTCCTCCTTCCATGCATTGTCATTCCCCTCACAGTCATTTCTGGCTTGATCACTTCTTCCTTGATCTCCCATCTCTTCAGGAAATGCATTCCTTTGGTTCTCCTGTCTGCTTCCTGTCCGACTATAAGCATGATTGTGTTTCCCCAATTCTTTAAAAAAAAAAAAAAAAGAAGAAGAAGAAGAAGAAGAAAGAAAAGAAACAACACCAATAAACACTTCTCTAGATCTTGTGATCTCATCTTCCTTCCTTCATAGCAAACTTCCTGAAAAAGTTTTCCAGAATTAAGGTTTCAACCTCCTGACTTTCCTTTCTCATTCCACTGCAACCTAAACTCCTCCACACTCTGCTAAAAGTGACCCTCCTGTTGCCCTGCTTTTTGGTCCTTATGGTCCTAGATCTCTCTGTTATGTTAGGGTGTGCTGGCCACTTCATATTCTACAAATATCTTCTCCTTGTTTCTGGGACAGCACCCTTCTTCCTGGCAGTTTTCACCAAGGTTCCAGTCAATTATGATGCGCACAGCATCTTAGAGCCACTGACTGGAGAGGCTGCACTCTTAACTAGGGCTGTAAGACTTCAGGTGTGAGGGTTAGTGGTGCTAGCAGATGAGAAAGGAGGAACCTATGTTGAGGAGGAAAACAATGACTCAAGAGTTGAACAGGTTGAATCCTACAACTACCACTTACCAGTGTGTGACTGTGGTAAGCACTCATAAGATGTCAGATATTAGTAACTGGTCACCAATGTCAATGCTACCACGAAAATATCTGCACTGCTTCTTTCTCTTTTCCTACTGCTAACACCTCCATTAAGCCTTCCTCACTTTTTACCCTGCTTACTGCAGTAACTGCAGGCCAAACAAAAAAACAAACCAGTTGCTATCAAGTCAAGTCCAACTCATGACGACCCTATGGGTCTGAGAGTAGGACCGTACTCCATAGGGCTTTCAATGGCTATGATCATTTGGAAGTAGATTGCTAGACCTTTCTTCTGAGACATCACTGAGGGGAACTGCCAACCTTTTTGTTAGTAGCTGAGCACTTAACCATTTGTACCACCCAGGGATCTTGTCTTCAAAGGTGTACCCTACCAATTCATTCTGTGTATTTTGAACATTCATATATGACTATGTGACTCTTCTGTTAAAACAAATCCTAAAACAAGCATTGTAATTGGTGTCATAAAGCCTCCGGGATAACCTAGAGCTTAGTATCCATGATCCACCTCTGCGGCCTCATCCCCCACCTACCCTATACTTTCCAACCACTCCAGCTCCCTTGAGGGTTTGTCCAGTGAGCCATGCCATGTCATACCTGTCTTTGTACATGCTGTTCACCCTGGCTGAAATCTTTCCTCCCTTCCTTGCCTGGCTGACCCTTATCATTCACAAGCCAGTTCAGACATTACCTCTTTGAGGGGGTTCCACTTGTGGCAATGGGTGACCATGGCTCTTTAGACACATGAGTGATTGGGGAGGCAAACATTCACATACTGACCCACACCTGTGTGTTCTTGTGCTCCTGTTTTTCTGTAGTCTCTAGTTAAAGGGAAACCCGGTGACCCACAGTGACCAGACTTGTCTTCCCACAGCTGCTGAACCCTTCAGCCTTTCCCAAGGAGACCCAGCCTGGAGGAGCGGGTGTGACAGACACATGGCTGTCCAAAGCCGTTTAAACATCATGGAGGAGGTAATTAGGATGCTCTGGGAGGACTTGAAGCTTAAGGACCACCTGCTAGTTTTGTAGCATTATGGAATTCAGACCCAACTTACTTTGGAACATCAGTAAATTCTGCCCCCTGACCACCATGTTAAACATCTCCCTGCCTCAATGGGCTGTTAGGCTGAGCTGCTCCCAACAGGCTGTGAGCTCCAGCCCCCACACGCCCCAGGGGAGCCTTGCTTGCAACCCAACCAGAGATCTCTGCATAATTACTGACAGGAATATAGAAATTCTATCTCTGTGTTTTATTATATAGCCATGGTTTGTAACCTACGGTCCATAAACTTGTGTGGGGGAAAAAAATTAATCTTTATTTTCACAGACTTCTAACAAAACTTAGTATTTCCTTTCATTATAAATATAGGACAACAAACCATAGTAGCATTAACAGTACCTCAGCTTTATCATCAATAGAAATCACAGATAATTTCACCACATTATGTTATTGTTGTTGTTAGATGCCATTGAGTCAACTCCAACTCATAGTGACCCTATGTACAATAGAATGAAACACAACCCAGTCCTGCACCATCCTCACATTATACTTATTGCAAATATCTCAAAATATCACTTATACTCATAAGTATGTCAAATCACAGTAGTTATTGGACCTGATGTTGTTGTTGTTATGTACTGTCAAGTCAAACTCGACTCATAGCAACCCCTCCTTAGGTTTCCAAGGTGCTATCACTACGGAAGTAGATGTCATTTAATGGGCTAATAAAAAATATATCACAATTGTAATTTTTAATACTTAAATATTCTAATGCAATTGGTGCCCTTTGTTACTCCTCTATGTTTCTTTTCTTTCTTTTTTTTTTTTTTGCATTTAAAGCATTATCCTGAGAAGGGCCCTATAGCCTTCACCAGACTCCCAGTGAGGTCTGCTGGCCAAACCAATGAAACCAAACCCACTGCCATTGATTCTGACTCATAGCAACCCTGCAGGACAGAGTAGAACTGCCCCCATCAAGTTTCCAAGGCTGTAAATCTTTACAGAAGCGGATTACTACATCTTTCTCCTAAGGAGCAACTGGTGGTTTCGAACCACTGACCTTTAGGTTAGCAACCGAGCACTTAACCATTGCTCCACCAGGGTACCATTGAAGAACCCAGAATAGAGGGAATTTCAAAATCCCAAACTTGTAATTTGGAAAAGATGCCACTAGGAGACAGGGCAACAAAAGGAATGTAAGCTCCAGGTAGTGAAGTCCTGAAAAGGGAGAAAGTATCCAGTGTTACACCACCACAAATCTGTGACTGAGTAAAACCAGTGAGTGCCAGAGCCAGGAACAGCATTAGAGGGAGCCTCTTATCCGGACCCTACATATTGTCATCTGGGGAAACTGAGACACAGGTAGGGGCAGAGTCTGGACGAGAACTCAGGTCCCTGCTGTACCTTGCTGTACCACAGGTCATTAGGGTGTGGTTGATAAGGATGAAGTCAGGGTTCAGTCTATTCAGACTGAAACCTGATCCAAACATCCAGGATGAACTTGGTGGCACATTTGTCCTTGACTGTCCCTCCTCCCCTTGCTCTGAGCAGACAGTGGAGAAGACAGTGGAGCACCTGGAGGCAGAGTTGAAAGGCCTGCTGGGTCTACTGGAGGAGCTGGCCAGGAACCTGCCCCCGGGGCACTTCAGCCCAGCCTCTGACCTCCTCGGCGGTGATGGTGAGTGGCTCAGGTGGTAGAGATGAGTTCCCAGGGATGAGGCCAGGCAGTGGGGCAAGCAGGATGGGAATGGTTGGTCCACACCACATGGGTGTCTCCTTGATAAGAAGGGAGAGGCTCTGGCCCTTGGGACAAGAGTAGGAGGGTGCCCCTCCCCCAGCATCTCCACCCTGGGGTTGCTGCAGCCCAGCATCAGGTCAGAGCCCTCAAAGAACTGGCCTCTTTCTTTCAAGTTTTGCTTTCAGCAAAACCCTGACACCAAAAAGCTGCCACCTTCACTGGCCATTTCCATTCCTTAAAAAGCTTCCTCTTTCACTAGCTATTTCCACTTCTCAAAGCCTCTTGTTGTTGTTGTTATGTGCCGTCGAGTCTGCCCCGACTCATAGCGACCCCTCCTTGGGTTTCCGAGGCAGTATCACTACGGAAGGAGGATTGCCCAACCTTCCTTCCGAGGAGTGGCTGGTGGGTTTGAACCGCCAGCCCTCTGGTTAGCAGTCAAGTGCTTTATAGGTTCTTTCCTCTCCCTCCTGAGTGTCTACTCCTGTGGCACCATGAAACCCTCTTGGGACAGATTGATGTTCGCTTTGATCCAGGCAGGGTGTGTGCCACCCTGTTCCCTCCTTGAGCCCTATGCTTGCTGGCACAGGGGTTCCCAGGGATGAGGAGAGGGAGGGATGGAAGCTTCCGGGTACTGAGGGCACCATCAGTGCCCCCTGATGGCTCACTTTGAGGCTGCCCCCTTTCTTTTCAGATCCCTTCTGAGCATGGGAGGTGGAAACCCAGTGGCTGGCGGTGCTACACCTGCTGAACAGCTCTCCTCTGCTAGCAAAGCCTTCTCACCTGCATTTTCCAGCATTCCTGCTTTTATTAGTTGCTGTTGGGTCAGTTCCAACTTACAGTGACCCCCATGTACTACAGAACAAAACATGCCTCGTCTTGTACCATCCTCACATTTGTTGTCATGCTTAAGCCCATTGTTGCTGCCACTGTTCAATCCATCTTGTTGATGGTCTTCCCCTTTTTCACTGACCATATCCCTTAAAGCGTGATGTCCTTCAGGAACTGATCCCTCCTGGTAACATGTCCAAAGTACATGAGACAGAGTCTTGCCATCTTCACTTGTAATGTGCATTCTGACTGTACTTCTTCCAAGGCAGATTTGTTCATTCTTCTGACAGTCCATGGTATATTCAGTAATCGTCACCAACACCATAACCCTTTAATTCAAATGCATTAATTCTTTTTTGGTTTTCCGTATCCATTGTCCAGCTTTTATAGGCATATGAGGCGATTGAAAATACCAGGACTTGGGGCAGGCCCATTTTATTCCTCAAAGTGGTATCTTTGCTATTTAACACTTTAAAGAGGGCTTTTGCAGCAGATTTACCCAATGTAATATATTGGTTGATTTCTTGACTGTAGTTTCCATGGGTGTTGATTGTGGATCCAGGCAAAATGAAATTCTTGACAACTTCAGTTTTTTTCTCTGTTTATCATGATATTGCTCATTGGTACAATTGTGAGGATTTTTGTTTTCTTTATGTTACGGTGTAATCCATACTGAAGGTTGTAGTCTTTGATCTTTATCAGTAAGTGCTTCAAGTCCTCTTCACTTTCAGCAAGCAAAGTTGTGTCATCTGCATATTGCAGGTTGCTAATGATTCTTCTTCCAATCCCGATGTTCCTTATGTTGTCCAGCTTCTCAGATTTGCTTAGCATACAATTTGAATAAGTATGGTTAAAGGATATAACCCTGACACACTCCTTTCCTGATTTTAAACCACACAGTATTCCCCTTGTTACATTTGAACAAACTGCCTCTTGGTGTATGTACAGGTTTCTCATCAGCACAGTTAAGTGTTCTGAAATTTGCATTCTTTGCAATGTTATCCATAATTTGTTATGATCCTCAGGTCAAATGCCTTTGCATAATCAATAAAGCATAGGTAAAGATCTTTCTGGTGTTCTCTGCTTTCAGGTAAGATCCATCTGATATCAGCAATCATAGCACTCATTCTACATCCTCTTCTGAATCCAGCTTAAATTTCTCTTAGTTCTCTGTTGATGTACTGCTGCAACCATCAACAGGGAATAGCATTGCATGAAATAAAAATAAGTCCTTTGGTCCCTTTTATGCCTGCTGAGAGACCGACCCCTATAACACAGGCCCTTTTGCAACTACTTCCATGCCCTGAGGTGTGCATTGTCTTCAGGCTCAGATCTGGGAGCCCCCCATCTTCAGTGTTTCAATGCTCATTTATAGGAGCTTGCAGGGCAGGGCTGGTTCATAGAAGTGAAGGATCAGAGAGACAGCAGAAAGGCCCTTCTAGAGTCTAGCTGTTCAGTGTGGTCATGGATGAGCAAAACATCACAAGGTCAGAATCTGCATTGTAACACATTCTCTAAGGGAAATGTCACATTAAAGCGTTTATTTAAATTAATGTAAAATTCACATAACAAAATTCATCATTTTAACCAGTTTAAATTCAGTAGCTTCCAGTATTTTCACAATGCTATGCAATCACCACTGCTGTCTAATTTCAGAACATTTTCATCACCACAAAAACCCCTTACCAGTTGGGGAAATGGAGGCAATCCCCTTCTAACCATCCCCTGGCAACCACTAATCCCTTTGTTTCTAGGGATTCTATACTGGGGGAGCTCTGGTGCGTAGTGCCTAGGCATTTGACTGCTAACCAGAAGACTGGCAGTTCAAACCCACCAGCCACTCCTCAGAAGGAAGATTGGGCAATCTACTTCCATAGTGATATCACCTCAGAAACCCAAGGAGGGGTCACTATGAGTTGGATCTGACTCGACGGCAGTGAGTTTGGTTCTTTTGGTTTGACCTCTACTGGATATTTCATATCAATGGAATCATAAAATTTGTCTGGTTTCTTTCATTTAGCATAATGCTGTCAAATTTCATCCATGTTGTAGCATGTATCAGTACTTCATTATATTTTATAGCTGAATATATCATGGTATGGATCTACCACATTTTGTTTATTCATTTATCAGTTGGTGGAAATTGTGTCATTTTCGCTTTTTGGTTATTATGAGTAATGTAACATTCATGTAAAAGTCTTTGTGTGAACAGATGTTTTCAGTTCTCTTGGGCATATTTGTACAAGTGGAACTGCAGGCTCATGTGGCAATTCTGTTTAACTTTTTGAAGAACTGCCAAACTGTATTCCACAGTGGCTGCACTATTTTATATTCTCGCCAAAAATATATGAGAGTTCCAGTTTCCCCACATCCTCTCCAACACTTGTAATGATTGGACTTTTTGATTATAGCCATCCTAGTGGATGTGAAGTGGTATCTCATTGTGGTTTTGATTTGCATTTCCATAGTAAATAATTATGTTGAGCATCTTTTCATGTGTTCTTTAAATTTTTTTTAAAAAAATGTTATTGTGATTTGGGTGAAAGTCTACAGAGCAAATTTCTTTCACATGTAGCAGTTCATACACATTTTGTCTTAGGACATTGTAATTTCCCACAACGTAACAGCTCTCTTCCCACTTCCTTCAGATAGTTACCTCTTTCCTGTGTCCTTCCCTCCAATGCACTTCTGCCCCACTGAGCAGACTCCTTGTGCATACACTGCCCCTCTGTTCTCCCATGATTGATCTCTCCAAGGAGTGTATCTACCTGATGTAAATGTTCAGCCTTTATGCCTTTTATTTGGCTGGAAGCCACAGGAGTGAGTTCAGTTCCAGACCTGAAAGGCAGCTAGGGGACATAGTCTCAGGGGTTTCACCAGGCTCTACCAGATCAGCAAACCTGGCCTTTTTTTTCTTTTTTTAAAAATGATTTTCAGTTTTGTTCCACATTGCTCTCCCACTCTATACATCTATACATCTATACATATCCCACTCCAAGTAGTTGATGGTTCTAGCCAGGCACCATCTAGTTCTTCTGGTCCTATGGTCATATAGGCTAAGGATCACAGTCCTTATGGCCTAATTGTTTCCATGAATCTTTGGTTTTCTTCATTCTTCTTTACTCTGGATGAGGAGAGAACCATTGTTGCATCCAGATGGCTGCTTGCAAACTTTTAAGATCCCAGTCGCTACCCACCAAAGGATATGGAACAATGTTTTTGTGTAGTATGTTATGCCAATTGAGCTTGATGTGCCCTGAGACTATGGCCAAGAAGTCACCACAACCTTGTCCCATACCACCTCTACTAGATACCTGGACATTCTTAGAGAACATGCAAATACACTTGTAGAAACATTGTCTGAGAACCCTATACATGGTCATGGGCACACTGCCCCCAGCATAGACATACCTGATTGTTCGGCCTGTCCACCCATTTATCCACCCATAGATCAATGTTTGCCATCAGTGACGATGCAGTACTGTATATGCAAAAGGGTTCATCTTTGTTGTATTACCCATGTCCCTCTCTATGTCTTCCTCTTCCTCAGTGCCACTGTGTTGATCATTCACATGTGGTGCATTGCCCTTCCCTTCACCCAAATTAATACTTGTCTCTACCTATCTAGCAGTATTCCATCCCCTTCCCTCCCACCCCTGGTAATGAACAAAGAAAGTTTCATTCCATATAGAAACTTTCCTTGACCTTTTTACAATAACAGACTGTGACAGTTGGAGTTGTGTGTCAACTTGGCTGGACCACAATTCTGAATGGTTTAAGCAGTTGTAATGTGGGTTATTCCCATGATGAGATCAGATGTATATATTTTGAGCAGCCAATCCATTCAAAGGGAGTTTCCCTAGGGCTGTGGCCTGCTTCCAATGTATTTATGGACATCCTGGGAAAAAGAGACACTCTTCTGTGGCTTGGGATATGGTTGTACTGCCTACAGCTGTCTGTGAGCGAACGAGCCACCATTTGGCCTGGAGATCTTGGATTTGTCATCTGTCGGAGTCAACAGCTGGTGTACTGCCCGCCAACCTTAAGCTCATCTGCTCCTGCAGCTGTGTCAGTCAGGAAATGCCTCGAGCTTCATGTTTGATCCAAGAACTTGGAACTTGCCAGCTTCTGTAAGTTTGTGAGCCATTTTCCTAAGATAAATTTCTCTCTCTAAGTTTTACTGGTTTTGCTTCTCTATAGAACCCAGACTAACACACGGACTAAAACAGTATTTGTCCATCTGTGATTGACTTGTTTCAATCAGCATGATATCAGCAAACTTCATCCACATTATGCGGTGTTTTGCAGCCTCTACATTATTCTTTAGGGTTGCATGGTATTCCATTGTGTGTACATATCTTAGTTTGGTTATCCATTCTTCTGCTGATGGGCACCTACGTTGTTTCCATCTTTTTGCTATTGTAAATAGTGCTGTAGTGAACATGGGTGTGCATGTATCTGTTCATGTCCTGGCTCTCACTTTTTTAGGATATATACATAATAATGGGATTGCTGGGTCAAATGGTATTTCTAATTCCAACTTTTTAAGGAATCACCATACTGCTTTCCACAGTGGTTTTATCATTGTACATCAACAAGTGTATGAGAGTCCCAATCCTCCACATCCTTGCCAGCATTTGTTATTTTCTGTCTTGAACTTTGCTACTAGTACTGGGGCAAGATGGTATCTCGTTGTTGCCTAAGGCACTTGACTGCTAACCAGAAGGCTGGCAGTTCAAACCCACCAGCCACTCCTCGGAAGGAAGATGGGGCAATCTACTTCTGTAGTG